GTTATCAGTGTTGCACTGGTAGGATGAGGAATTTAATTTTTCTAGAAAATGTATAATTATTTTCACTATAAAAAATTACTTAAGATTAAAAAGTGGGGATTAATTTTAAATTTTAACAGCTTTTATTTAACAAGCATTTTTTATCTATCTACTCCATTCAAGTAAAAAGTTCTTGTGAGATTGGAAAAAATAAAATTTTAAAGACAAATAAAAGTGAATAACAAAAATATTTCCAACTACTCAATGAAAGTTATATTTTTTACTGCTAAAAACAAGAATTGTTACACTCATTTAAACTAGTAACTTTACGTAATGCTTTACTTAAAACATTATCTTCTTTTAACTTATAGTACACATGATAAATTCATCATTTAGCTTTGACATTGGATTGGATAATTGTGGGAAAAGCACAAGCACATTCTTTACGGGTGTAACCCATTTACTAGACGAAAAATTTATCTTATAAAAGCTGACTCGCGAACGTCCCTTTCAAACAGTCACTTCTTGCATTTTATGAACTGATGAAATACAGTTTGCGACAAGACGAGTAGAGTCAGATATTTTGTAGCAATTTGTTAAAAAAAAATTGTCAAAATGTTGTTCAAAGTATTGGTTACATGTGCACTTGTAACATTTTTCCACACTTGGGAAGTCAATGCTCACGGCAGACTTAGGGACCCACCAAGTAGATCATCTGCTTGGAGAGAGGACTTCAATGTTCCAGAGAATTACAATGATGCTGAACTTAACTGTGGTGGCGTTGGGGTAAGTGTTATTCCACGATTTCCATGATTGGTACACAAATTTCATGTAAAGACAAATCTAATCTTGCCTTAGACAATACGTACAATTTACTTTCTAATTAACAGTTGAACGTTTTCTCCCAATTATTCAAGAAGTTTTCAAGTAATTTTTCTAGGATGAACCCTAATTTTTTTTTTTACACTTAGCTAAACTGCCAAAGTATCAATATATTATTCTATACGTGTTACTTCGCTGTAATTTTAAATTGAGGTATGAGTTACATGCACGTATAATAAATGATTGATTATTCTAGTCTCAGTATGTACAAAATGATGGAAAATGCGGACCATGTGGTGATAATTGGAACAAGACTCAACCAAGAGCCAACGAAAATGGTGGAACTTACGGCCGAGGAGTAATTGTCCGAAAGTAAGTGGTACTTATACAAAGAAATGAAAATCAATTATAAAGATTAATAACTATATTCAAGTGCTTTCATAAACAATTTACGCAAAGCCATACATGACAAATGGTAGTTTTCCTACGAGTTTGAAAAGTCTTTGTTTTGCGAACCGAGAGGTTTGCGGCTCGAGCCGAAGGCGAGGTCCGTAACGAGGTTCGTAAAGGAGACTTTTCGAACGAGTATCGGAAAACAGCTTTTTCCGCCCTTGGGTGGTTTTGGGAGGCTGGTACTTCCTCGAGCGAAAAAGCAGTTTTCCGGAACTTGTTCGAAAAGTCTTCTTTACGAACCTCGTTACGTCCCTTGCCTTCGGCTCGGGCCGCAAACCTCTCGGTTCGCAAACAAAGACTTTTCAAACTCGTAGGAAAACTACTATTTCTTACCATGGGAACAAAGTGCAACTGCCGCTTTGCACCCTTATAATCACTTTGGGCTCACGGGCAGAAAAATTTTTTGCGCCCTCTGGGCCCAAAGTGATTTACTAGGTGCAAAGTGTGCCCACGGGCACGAAACTGCATTTTGCGCCCTACGTAAGAAAAACATTATACGCGACTCGGGCACCAACATACTACAATTGCACCCTTCGGGCGCTCATGTTTGTACTTTGTGCCCTAGTGTCGTAATGTACCATTTGGTACCTGTAGCGTCTCTGAAGGGCAAAATAGCCCTGGGGGGATGGCTCTACTATTATTTAACTAAAAGCCGAATTCAGCCATACCAAATGAAAACAGAATTTTCCTTAAGGCACTTTAATGAACATATTTTTATTATTTCACGGATTCATTATTGTGATTTTTTTACAGCTACACTTCCGGCCAGTCAATTGAAATAAAAGTCGAAATAACAGCTAATCACTTGGGTTACTTTGAATTTTCCCTCTGTCCTCTCAACTCAAGCAAAGACATCGAGACGGAGGAGTGCTTTGATGCACATCCCATTCATCTAGCTGATGGCAATCTACGTTACCAATTGGGAAAACGTGGCGGTTTCATAAAAATCCAAGCTGTCCTTCCAGAAAATATGAAATGTCCTCATTGCGTCTTAAGGTGGCACTACCGCACTGGAAACAATTGGGGTATTTGCAAGGATCGCACTGGGAGACTTGGCTGTGGTAACCAGGAAATATTCCGCGGATGCGCTGATGTATCAATTATTTAAACTATTTGGAAGTTATATTTAAATGTTTATGTTCATATGTTATTACACAATAGATTTTTCAAACAGAATAATTTACCTATACTGAATCACTATGTTCATTTTTTCTTTCAAATTTCTAATGATTATTAAACAAAATCTCTATATAAAGTTGTTAAAAAAATCTTTTAAAACTGTAAGCGAGTCAGAAAGTCAACATATAGATAAACAAATCTGGGGTACTTTTTAAGGTGTTATTATTATAGATGTGTCTAAATAAATTTACGTTAATAATAATTTTACAGTAAAATTTTGTATGATAAATATGCTAATGAATTAGGTATTTTTTTATTCGTCCTTATTCATATTATTACAATCTTGTACTTAACTTTTTTAATTCATTTAAAAATAATACTTATGAATAATTGTTAATAACTGATTATTTTTATTGTATTACATTATGTATCAGATAAAGAAAAAATAATAAAAATAAAAAAACAAAAATCTTTGCGTGAATTAGTTGTACTAATTGATCTCTCGTATAAAAAAAAACTTATTGTAACTATTAATTTTCAATAATAACTTGTCACATCTACTTGTAAACATGAAGTTTTATTAGTTATCTCAAATCTAGACTTATTTATAAACTGTAATTTATTTTTTTTTTTTTTCTTTTTTTTTTTTCTTTTTTTCAATTTGTTGTTCAAAAAAAAATTACTTAGTAATTGGATGACATTGTTTCCACTGGGATACAGAATAAAAAAAAAAAAATAATCGAAATTTTCACAACAAAAGAAAATTTCCAACATCCCGATCGGAAATCGTATCGTGGCTGTAAAGGGGACCTATCTAGGCATAGTGCACTACTAGCTAGGCCCTCGTTACAGCCAAGGTACGATTTCCGATCGGGATGAACTGTATTACTTCAAGATATACAGAGAAGCATTGAATGTAGTTGTGTAAAAGAGGCCACATAATTTGCAACATAACATAACCCGTATTTCATAGAAGCATCGACTTAAACTGAAGAGACAGACTCAGAATGAAGTCTACAAAATCAGGAAAAAAAGAGAAGTATCCATACTATAAAAATATGCCCTCATACACTCAAATATTTTTGTTCCTTTATTCTTTCCCTTCGTTACATTTTAATTTACATTTATTTCTCACATTTTTTTATAAAAATACACATCCATAACGATGTATTGTTATTGTTTCAAAACTTTTATTTGTTTTTTTAACTTTTATTTCAAGCAGTATACCATAAGATCGTCATGAATAATTTCTACATGTAAAATTATGAGACCGTGGACTTTTTATTCATATCACCGTATAATTATATAAAATGCCATCACTATCGATTACACAATACATAGACCAATTGAACCTAATAGAACTTCGATGACTTACTGCACTGCTCACCTCTCAGACGGTCACATTCAATGAGGGGTCGTGAGTTCAAAGTCTGTCAAAAAATATAGAAATTAAAAATTTTTTGTAACCACATATCCAACACATTACATGTAATTAATTTCTTACACTTCTTACACTTTCTTATTCAACAAATATTTTTTTAACTCATATGTACATGTATTATCGATCAGATAACCTCAGTGTCTTGTTATATGATCAGTTAAGGCTTGATCCGAGGGTAACCTATTGTCCTTAGCTCATGATATCTGTTCCGGCGCCCAAACAGGTCTTTTCTAGAGATTCCAATGAAATTCTATTAACTTCTGAACTGGACCTGTTTGGCCCACTCGGACACCTGTTCAGATCTAATTGGGTTCCGGAACGAAGTTTTCACTCGATATACGCAAAAATCTAGCAATTAATGTACATGGATCCAAACATAAAACAACAATGAAATTCCACCTGAAAAAATTTCAAGTGAATTGTAGATATTAGTGTTCACAACTGCCAAGGTATTTTGTTCAAGTGACCTGGTGGTGCCCTCATTTTGATATTTTTTGATACATAGACGTTTTTACCCAGTGCCTAATTAACACCTAAATAATTTGCTACAAGTTATTTCTTAGTTTATTTAAATAGCAGGAAATATATAAAGTCTTTAAGAAACGATTTATTCATAGATTTCTTAATTAACGCAATGCAAATGATAGTTTAATCTTAATTTTACTCTTGATTTAGTACTTTCAAGAAAACCAAGCGAAAATTAATTAGATCCGACTCCAGGTCCATTTAAAAAAAATCTATTTTAATATAAATATATGTTGTTTAATAAGCTTTTACAATTTGTGAGGGTGTTTTGCAACTATTTTGATTTTACCACAATGCCTACTAGTACATCTATATTAAAATTTGGAGACAGAAAAAATTTTCGAGTTCCTTCGCTCCAAAGTATTAAATTTAAAAATTAACGCATTCTAGAATTGAGAAGCCGGTTTCAATAACTTGATCTGCGTGAATGAAATTTCTGAACCTTTTTATTTTTAACTAGGAAACTATGCATTCAACAAAGAAACTGTAAATAGAAAAAAAGTTGCATTTTTCGATTCTGTATTAGCTATTTTTTTTTTTTAAACGGTTACTTAAGTTTTATAATTTGTTTTACGACAGAACTTTTTAAGGCCTCCGACAGCAGATCAATTGATCACTTGCTACGAAATTGTTTGTTGCAAATGCCGAATGTTTGCGTAATAATTTACATCCTCACCCTAAAAAACATGTTGGTATTTCTAAAGTACAAGAAAATATCTATTACTATTACTGTATGGGTAATGTATCTGAGAAACCTTGTAAAAATAACCCGTTGGATCAGCAAACCGAGAAAAGTAGAAAAACCGAAAATAATGAATCATAGATATCATAAATTAGCTTATTTACTCGATCATTTTCCATCGAACTAATTTTTTTATGAACTTGTATTACTAAAAAATAATTCGTAATATTTATAAGAAGTTCCAATCTAGAAAAATTAAATTCGATGTCACAAATAAAACCATAAATTGCACTAATATAGAGTTGGATACAGTTCATTTCTCCCTTCGGTATCCATTATTCATGGGATATGCAGGTAACGGGCTTTACTTGAAAAAAATAAAGAATTGAGACTTTTACTTTGGATTCGTCAAAATTTCACCGAGTATTTATTGTTAAAAATAATTAATTATTAATTTATCGCATGAATTTCGTGATAATGATTTTAATAAACAACTCTTGGAGTACAGAGAAGTTTTGAAAACGTTCAAAAACATGGTTTTCACTACTTGATAACTTTCTGCTCCAGTTGGTACACTCTGGGTGGATACTATTCAAACATGTAAATTAACGCAAAAGGAGTGCACAAGTCCTTTTTTGTCACTAAAAGTAACAAATATTTTTCACGTGTCTAATGTTTAATAATGTTCTTTTAAATTTTATCAAGTCACGATTTAAACGTTTTCTAAACGTTGTTCGTTTATGGAATTACGTGATAAAATTATAACACTCAATTTAACAAATTCCCTTACGTAATAGCTTACACAAAATATTTCTTATCTTAATTAACAATACCTTGGCTAAGTTGATCAATTGCTTTGACATTGGATTGGATAATTGTGGGAAAAACACAAGCACATTCTTTACGGGTGTAACCCATTTACTAGTCCAAGAATTTATCTTATAAAAGCTGACTCGCGAACGTCCCTTTCAAACAGTCACTTCTTGCAATAGATCAACTGATGAAATACAGTTTGCGACAAGACGAGTAGAGCCAAATATTTTGAAGCAATTTGTTAAAAAAAATTGTCAAAATGTTGTTCAAAGTATTGGTTACATGTGCACTTGTAACTTTTTTTTATACCTGGGAAGTCAATGCTCATGGAAGTCTTAGAGACCCACCAAGTAGATCATCTGCGTGGAGAGAGAAACAGTTTATGTTCAAATTTAAACCAAATTTTGACGACAACCAACTTTATTGCGGTGGCAAATCGGTAAGTTAATAAACCAAGTATTTTGTAGTTTGCACACATTTTGTTTTGTAAATACAAATATAAGCTCGATTATCTTTACAATTCATATGTAGTTCAGATGTAAAATGCTCTGGATTTATTCAGCAAAATTTTCTAATGAATTAATTTGTATGGGCAAATGTACATTTTTTTTCTTGTGAGCTTCAATTTAAAAATTTCGTAGGAAAATTTAACTTTACTTATAAAACATATAAGTTCATGTTCCAATCGTTTGTATGAAATTATTAAAAATCATAGGTACAGAAAAAAAATGATGGAAAATGCGGACCATGTGGTGACAATTGGAACAAGACTAAACCAAGAGATAACGAAAACGGTGGAAAATATGGCCGAGGAATAATTGTCCGAAAGTAAGTTGAGATTATTAGGAAACAAAAGTTAATGATGAATATACATAGTAATAATCACCTATTTGAATCATTACTTCAATCAACACCTCACACGACAAACTGACGAGACTGAGTTACTTTAGCGATTAGGCCTATCCCTAGATTGGAGGTTCTGAGCCATTAATACAAAAATAATTACAATCGTATTGGGTGATAATGAAAGAAGTGCTTTTTTTATTAATATGGTTAATCATGTAATCTAAAAAAATTTCAACGTTAAAATCCAGATTTACTTCACTGTTGCAAGACATAACAGTAAGGTCAGGCTTAATTTTTATGAGCTTTATAATAGAGTGAAAATAATACATTGGGAGGAAAAAGAAAAAAATCTCAGGCCTTTGGCGTTCTGTACGAAGCTGAGGGTAACATGAATACAATTGAGGGCTTCTTCGTTTCCTCCTAATTCTAAAAAAAATTTTCCTTACGGATTCCTCTATGCTTCCTCTCAGAGAAAGCTTTATAACTGACGAAAAATCACATTTGGCTATGAGGCGATATAAATGTGTTTTATAAAGGTTAAAATCGAAACAAAGTATGACACTGTTTTTTGTAAGTGTGAGTGTGTTTGTATACAATCAGTCAGACCTTACAATTAGAATTTTCTAGACTAGTGGTTGTGTGACCTATTTTTTAATTTCTGGATACGTATTACCGCTGAAAAATTCAATTTTTATCGATTTTTTTGTATTTCGATTTTATAAATTAAAAAAAATATTTTTTTAAAGAAANTAAGATTTATTATTTTATTGTATATTGCTTGTTATTCATTAATAAATATTACTTTTTTTTATTTATTTTTATATTTTTCAAAAAACTAATTCTGTCAAAAAAGTGTTTTTTCCTCATTATTTTGGAATATTTTAGATTATACAATCTTAAAATATCTCATGCCATTTTTCTTCATGATGCAGGACATTTATTACACCCAATGTTTTTTTATTTCCTTACCATGATCCTAGTACCAGACCCAAAAAATACGAATTTCATTCATTCTTATTTTAAAGATTTTTCAAGATCAGTATCATGTACGAATAATCAAAGAATAGTTTGAATTACGTATGATTATATATTACACTGTCTTCATTCGCTCTTTTTCAGTTATCATAGTGGTCAGCTGATCGATATCAAAGTACATATAAGTGCCAATCACTTGGGGTACTTCGAATTCTCATTGTGTCCTCTCAAATCACCCAAAGCCATCGAGACCGAAAAGTGCTTCGACGCACATCCCATCTACCTTGCCAACGGCCATCGACGTTACCCACTGAAGTCAGGTGTCTATGGCATCGTCAATGTTCAAGCTGTGCTTCCAAAGAACTTTAAATGTCCGCACTGCGTCTTGAGGTGGCACTACCACACTGGAAACGATTGGGGTATTTGTGAAAACGGCATTGGCAGACTTGGCTGTGGTCCTCAGGAGACATTCCGTGGATGCGCTGATGTATCAATTATTTAAACTATTTGGAAGTTATATTTAAATGTTTATATTCATATGTTCTTACACAATAGATTTTTCAAACAGAATAATTTACCTATACTGAATCACTATGTTCATTTTATCTTTCAAATTTCTAATGATTATTAAACAAAATCTCTATATAAAGTTGTTAAATCTTTCAAAACTGTAAGCGAGTCAGAAAGTCAACAGATATTGTAAAATTACATACAAAAAATGTATTTAGTTAGAATAAAAAAAGAAAAAAAAAAGTAGATATGAAAGATTGACCCAGTTTTTTTTTTATTTTAGTTGTATTATCTTTAATCAATTGATCATTTTGTTTTTTCTAATGTCTTTGGGTATATAGGAGACATGACAGATACTTTTATTAATGTTATTTTGTATTTATTATCATCTATGTGTTGATAAGCTACACATTTTTTAAATGTTATTAATAAAAACATAATTGTGTTAATTTGTCTATATTGTATTTCAAGTGAAAATATACTCCAACATATGAGATTACCAATCAAGATGTATTGTTCCAATGACCTTGTGAAGATCAAACGCTAGTATACTTTCTGCCATGAACGTTTTTCCCAGTACTTGATAATATATGTGAGGTACGCACTCGGATGGAGTGGCCTTTGAAACTTACTAAAGTAACGAAAACTACGTAAAGTCTTTTGAAAGGGATTCTCAATAAAAATTTGAACTGTGATGTTCGGAATTTCAAGCTCTTGAATGATGTCAAAACAAAATATGGCGAGGCCAACTTATTTAAAAGATATTGGCGATTAATTTTATAGGTTAACATGGGCTAATGAAAAGGTGATAATAGGCATCTGTTTTGAAAAAAGGTAATGTTTTTACCCTGAGACTGATTAATTTTTTTTTTTTTCCGACGAAATTGGCTCAACATATTTTCATATTTTCAGACTGTCTAGTTATGATATGAAAACGAAGCTACAAAAAAAATTTAAGCTTAATCGAGTGTAAACTTTTAAGGATACTCGAGTTACATGTCTTCATAAGCTCATACATATGTTTTAGTATGCTATGCGCATAAATTTGACGACCCTCATGCCATGTTCAAAAAATTTTCTTACACACAAAATAGATTAATTAATCCTAATACCATTTTCCACTGACATTGTTGTGAAACAATAATAACCATTAANGTAAACACATTGCAGTAATCACGTGTTAATGATTGTAATACTTTTTTTTACAGCTACACTTCCGGCCAGTCAATTGAAATAAAAGTCGAAATAACAGCTAATCACTTGGGTTACTTTGAATTTTCCCTCTGTCCTCTTAACTCAAGCAAAGACATCGAGACGGAGGAGTGCTTTGATGCACATCCCATTCATCTAGCTGATGGCAATCTACGTTACCAATTGGGAAAACGTGGCGGTTTCATAAAAATCCAAGCTGTCCTTCCAGAAAATATGAAATGTCCTCATTGCGTCTTAAGGTGGCACTACCGCACTGGAAACAATTGGGGTATTTGCAAGGATCGCACTGGGAGACTTGGCTGTGGTAACCAGGAAATATTCCGTGGATGCGCTGATGTATCAATTATTTAAACTATTTGGAAGTTATATTTAAATGTTTATATTCATATGTTCTTACACAATAGATTTTTCAAACAGAATAATTTACCTATACTGAATCACTATGTTCATTTTTTCTTTCAAATTTCTAATGATTATTAAACAAAATCTCTATATAAAGTTGTTAAATCTTTCAAAACTGTAAGCGAGTCAGAAAATCAACATGGATAAACAAATCTGGAGCCTTTATCAGGGGTTATTGTTGTAGGTATATCTGAATAAATTTTTAATGATAATTATAAAGTAAAATGTTTATATAATAAATATATTAATGAATAAAAGAGTAGATATTATTTGATCCGTCCTCATGGTAATTTTTCAATGTATATTTCAATCAACGACCAATTCTATATAACATTTTATGTATGCGATTGACTGAGATGTATAATTATTTATTTACTCCTTTTCTCATGATATGTCTATTTGTGATGGAATTAAAACCTATAGTTACTTGTTTGGTCAACACCTATAATAACTTATTAATCGAAATTTAAGTCTACATCAATGTTCATCAGCAAACTCTACAACTAGTTACAGTATCTTTAAAATTTCACCACCTTTGATTTAACTTAATCGTACGTAACTGCCTATATTATTATTAATCTAGTTTTCTTACGTTACGATTAATTGCTACAATGTTGGAAAAAAAAATCCAACGATCCTTAATTTTCACGTGTTCGATGTTGCTTTCAAAACTTACGTACATCAATTTTCTATGTTAAGTAATGAGAAATGTATGCGCTTACCGTAGTATAAGTAAACAATATAAAGTTGGAAAACTAAATTTTGAATACTTTTGGATGAGACTTTAAAACTCTTTTCATAGTTATGTTACAGTGTAACGGGTTATTACTACAGTTAACTTAAATAACCATCACTTTCATTTTGTTGTTTTAACCATGCCTTCAAGTACATATTATGAAAACAGATTAACATAACAAACCGTACACTCAAATAAAATTAGTATAATTAATGTAACCAAAACTTAATTTTTCAGTAATGAAATAGAAATCTACGAACAAAAAAATAGGCCAAAGTTAATAGAAACTTTTCGAAGAAATTCTTTGAAATTACTGATTACACATACACACACGCTCGCGTGCAAACAGTCTAGAGTTTCAAACCATAGTCCTCTTTGGAACTTACGGCCGAGGAGTAATTGTCCGAAAGTAAGTGGTACTTATACAAAGAAATGAAAATCAATTATGAAGATTAATAACTATATTCAAGTGCTTTCATAAATTATTTTAACAACTAGAAACCATAAGCCATAGACAACAAAAAAACCTTCACCATTCCATACTTAAAGTTTTCTTCGTTAAAGTAAACAATGAAGTGAAATATAAAATTATAAAAAAACCTAAGCTGCTATTTAAATTGGGACTAAAAAACCAATAGAATGTTACGCTCTAAATCTCAGTGTGTTATGTAGTTCCATGTTTACATCCGATCGATTTTATATTATTATATTATTTTTATTATATTATTAGTAAAATTTTCCAGTATGCGCTCAATCGAATTATTTAAACCCTTCTTAATTAAGTTCGTAGATAATGTATTACTTAGTAAAACCAATTATAATGTTTACAATCACATAGATGCCAACGTATAAAAAAATGTTACAAACGCGTGATATGGGTTAAAAAACCTTAAGCAATAAAAAAGTAAGTAAAAAATGGTTCATTGTTAAGAAAAAAAGTAGCTTTGTTTAACTAAAAGCTATATTCACCCATTTCAAATAAAAAAAGTAACTTTTTTAAGGCACTACAGTAAACACATTGCAGTAATCACGTGTTAATGATTGTAATACTTTTTTTTACAGCTACACTTCCGGCCAGTCAATTGAAATAAAAGTCGAAATAACAGCTAATCACTTGGGTTACTTTGAATTTTCCCTCTGTCCTCTTAACTCAAGCAAAGACATCGAGACGGAGGAGTGCTTTGATGCACATCCCATTCATCTAGCTGATGGCAATCTACGTTACCAATTGGGAAAACGTGGCGGTTTCATAAAAATCCAAGCTGTCCTTCCAGAAAATATGAAATGTCCTCATTGCGTCTTAAGGTGGCACTACCGCACTGGAAACAATTGGGGTATTTGCAAGGATCGCACTGGGAGACTTGGCTGTGGTAACCAGGAAATATTCCGCGGATGCGCTGATGTATCAATTATTTAAACTATTTGGAAGTTATATTTAAATGTTTATGTTCATATGTTATTACACAATAGNAATATATTATTTGGAAATTAAATAAATAAAGTAGAGTTACTCTTGATTATGTCTACATAATGAATTTATTTCATTTTAATTTTTTCTGCAATTGATACTCTAAAAATTCCGCCAAGCTACACTCAACTGGTTTTTAACCAATTACATAACGAACAAAAATGCTTCAGTCACGTGACAGTCGTCTTTTATACAGGATTACAAAGTTTCCGATTTCAGAAACTTAAACGATTTGAAGAATCAAGTAGAGGAAATTATCATTTTTTAAGTATATTATAACAAACTGCTACAGTATTAACGCAAAACATACATAAGAACATTTATTCGAGGCTTTAAAACGTATTAATTTTCTCATTGTAGTCAAAAGGACTATTTGTGCATAAATGTTTTGCGATTATTTATTCTAGTTGCTATCCAAGATAATGTAATGAATAATTAAGAGACTATTGTGATTAAAACCAACTGATAAAAACATTAAATACAATAGTTGCCATGTGCAATTGCATGGGAGCACTACAAAGTTTGAAATGTAGCATTTTAATTTAAACTAAGCGTCTTTGGTGTTGATGAGTTAACGTTGACCAGCTAAAAATATATAAAACAATTTTTGATGGTGCAACTGAAAAATAGTATTTTTCTGTACATCGAATTTTATTCCCTTATTTAATGTTACTCTTCTACCGTTTACTCTGAAATTATTACGGCTTTTCATCTTTCAAATTGGGTCGTATCGATATTCTAAGCAATAATTTATTCTTATATGTTTTGAATATAGATTATATGTAGAGCCAGTTTGAATAAGTAACTGTAAAGTGTAAATGGCAATCCATATTTCAACAAGGGTGGAAATAATATACACTTTTGTTATCTGAAACCTTAAGATATTTACGAGAGGACAATTCTGTAAAGTAATGTTATCATTTAATTATTACCAACTGGCAAATAGTGGACCATTAATCATATGTTAAATTTTGTCATGAAAAACACTATTGTGTTAAATTATCTACAAAATTTCCAATGAATTGTACACTTTGCCATTAAGGTGTTTTGATCCATTGACCTCGTGGAGAACTGACGCTAATACACTTTTTGTCAAGAACGTTTTTTCCCAGTACTTAATAAATATGTGAGGTAGGTATTTGCTCGACCTTTTAAGTTTTCTCGATTAATGGAGTATACATAAAGCCTTTTGAAAAGTATTCGGTTAAAATAATTTTTTAATGATTTTCAATTCAACTTGATGCAATAATATTTTTAAATTTTAAGCTTTCGAATGATGTCAAGGATAATATAGCAAGACCAGCTTATTTGAAAGATATTGGTGATCAACGATTGGTACAATTTTATAGGTTTAAATGAGCTAATGGTCATAATAATGAACATAATATGTTTTTGATAGTCTCGCAGAAACGAGTATGTTATATAATAACTGTATTGGTATTATGATGAAAAATGGAAATACCCTTAAAGCACCTAAAAAAACAGGTGATAGTGAAAAGAATGGCTCTTTTGGCTAGAAACATTTTTTTCAGTTGTTTTAAAGAAAAAAATACTGAATATTTTAATTACCTCGATAAAAAAAAAAATAAATAAAAAAACCGATGAAAAAAGGCTCTGTGACGTAGGATAGCATAGATATACATGAGCCTGTGTTCGATGACATATGGTCGAAACTGGACTGGACCTATGAGATATGATGGTAAAGAAAAGGGATGAAGTTGAAGGGGAAATAAAGGACTGAAGAATCAAGGACCAGAAGATAAGGGCCAAATAATTTATAATAAATGTACGCAAAAAAAAACATTGTCTGTAATAAAAGTACACCAAGTGATTGGTTAAAAAAAAGGTACGTGTACATTCTACTCAAAATCTCCGCATCAAATTTTGCATAGGCTTTCTCACGTTAACAACAAATTGACAACGCATTCAGCTTAAAGAATTGTGGACGATTTCAGCTAATTTTATTTTCTTTTTGGGATACCAGATCGACCTAAAATTTTTTTTAACAAATAGTGAGTTCTATAGCTTTTTAACAGAGGCGTATCATAAACAAAGACTTTCAAGAACTGTTATTTTTTTAACTGTTACCGATTAGAAGAAAAAAAACATTAATTTTCTTCTAAAAAATTTTAGTGCACTAGTAAGCTTAAATACAAATTCATCAATTTATCGGTGCATTAGCTACAGAGAGTGAGGTATAATAATAAATAAGAGAGTGAATAAGTCTCCTCAGCATCTGGAAAATTATATATTGTGTACAACCTCATCATTACAAAATCGCTGATATTTTCTTTCAACTACTAATAATAATAAATACTAACGACTTTAAAGAAAGAAAAAGTAATTTAATACTCAAGTGGAGATTAATTAATTCTTCATCAACCATACGATCCGTACGAAAACTATTGTTACTGTTTTAACATCCCTATTAAAAAGTACTAAAAATGTATACATTACATGGATTTAGATTAAGACAACTATGTACAAAAACTTTTACACTTTTGAACATTTAAGCCTCCCTTGGTGAAGAAAATTTAGTGCTATAGTTAACTATAACAAATGAAACAAACATACTTAATAATTGAATTCAAGTTATTTATCTTTAATATTTTTACCTTTGAAAACTAGAGTTGGCAACTTGGTTAAGCAAATAAACTTACGTAATGCCTTACTCAAAATATTTCTTATCTTAATTAACAATACCTTGGCTAAGTTGATCAATTGCTTTGACATTGGATTGGATAACTGTGGGAAAAGCACAAGCACATTCTTTACGGGTGTAACCCATTTACTAGACGAAAAATTTATCTTATAAAAGCTGACTCGCGAACGTCCCTTTCAAACAGTCACTTCTTGCATTTTATGAACTGATGAAATACAGTTTGCGACAAGACGAGTAGAGTCAGATATTTTGAAGCAATTTGTTAAAAAAAAATTGTCAAAATGTTGTTCAAAGTATTGGTTACATGTGCACTTGTAACTTTTTTCCACACTTGGGAAGTCAATGCTCACGGCAGACTTAGGGATCCACCAAGTAGATCATCTGCGTGGAGAGAGGACTTCAATGTTCCAGAGAATTACAATGATGCTGAACTTAACTGTGGTGGCGTTGGGGTAAGTGTTATTCCACGATTTCCATGATTGGTACACAAATTTCATGTAAAGACAAATCTAATCTTGCCTTAGACAATACGTACAATTTACTTTCTAATTAACAGTTGAACGTTTTCTCCCAATTATTCAAGAAGTTTTCAAGTAATTTTTCTAGGATGAACCCTAATTTTTTTTTTTACACTTAGCTAAACTGCCAAAGTATCAATATATTATTCTATACGTGTTACTTCGCTGTAATTTTAAATTGAGGTATGAGTTACATGCACGTATAATAAATGATTGATTATTCTAGTCTCAGTATGTACAAAATGATGGAAAATGCGGACCATGTGGTGATAATTGGAACAAGACTCAACCAAGAGCCAACGAAAATGGTGGAACTTACGGCCGAGGAGTAATTGTCCGAAAGTAAGTGGTACTTATACAAAGAAATGAAAATCAATTATAAAGATTAATAACTATATTCAAGTGCTTTCATAAACAATTTACGCAAAGCCATACATGACAAATGGTAGTTTTCCTACGAGTTTGAAAAGTCTCTGTTTGCGAACCGAGAGGTTTGCGGCCCGAGCCGAAGGCGAGGTTCGTAACGAGGTTCGTAAAGGAGACTTTTCGAACGAGTTCCGGAAAACTGCTTTTTCGCCCGAGGAAGTACCAGCCTC